TTTTATAAGACTTATCTTATCGGATACCTTATTGGCATCCCTCCTTGCTAGTGGATCACATCCTGCCGCTGGAGGAGGCGAACTGGCTGATACAGTGCTGTCCCTGAGAAAATACAAGGCAGAGAGCAGAGTCACACGGGACGACAGTTAAAACTTCAGGGAATACAACAAGAGGGTCCCATGGAGGCAATAGTTAGAATCTTACTTTGTCTGCAGTAGCTGCCTAGCTGGGAAGCTGGGAGGCAGGAGACAATTGTTAAAAGTTTACCTCTGTACACCGTGGCTGCCAGGATGTCTGCTCTTAAGGCAGAAGGTGGTTTTTATATATATTTGTGTGTGTTTATGTATGCATATATACACATACATTCCCCAAATATGTTTGGGCTTAAAATTTTATATTTCCATACTCCTGGACCCGTCTATATCCTGATTTACCTACGCTCCCTATGCTAATCAGGCTCTGCTGTTCTATCTCTGAAGTTGCCCATTCCCCAAACTTCCACTGACAGACTATTTCTAAAACTGCTAGCTGAGTCAAACAAAATACACAGGGTAGGCGTATCTAATGTAATACAAACCAAGCAGTCAGCAAATTAGCACTGCTTAGCCAGACCCCTGACTCAGATAATCAGAGAGGTGTGGGGCCTGTAAGAGCTCCTCTTTTCACAACTGGATGTGATGCCAGTGGGGACGGCTGTGGCTGGAATCCAGGACTAGAAAGCAGGATGCACATGTGGTTATTGGCTGACCAGCAAATCATAGAGACCTCCTGGTTTCTATGGCTAAGCATCTCCAACTTCTTTAACCTTAAAGTTGTATCAATAAATGAAAATCTATACCAATACAAAGTATTTATTCCTATATCCTATTCCTTTTTTTTCTTTAAAAAGAAATTGACTATGCTCATTATCATTTATAACTAACCCCATTTAAATGAAAACAAACATTTATAAATAATATTTGGGGATTTGGGTGTCATTCATTCCAAACTGCTTCCTGCTGGTTGGGGGTGATGTCCATACCAGGGGGTCATGATAAAACACAGAAACCTGGCAGTAGTTGTCTATGACTGTATCATCTCAGCTATTTTGGATGTAGGATCAGTTGGGCTGCTTCAGGGGGTTTTGCTTGATCAAACCATATTAGTCTGGAAGAAATCCATATCTTTCCATTTTCTGTGGAAATACAAGCAAAAACTACTTTCCCAAGTAACCTGTCCTTATATTCAAACTTAGAAGTCAAAGCATTTTTAAAAAGTTGGATTAATTTAGCAGCATTGATAATCAAATGTATTTTAGCAGCTGTAGCTCTTTCCTCAGCAAACAACTTAAAAACAACAATATAGCATATAGTATCCAGATACTCTGTGTATTTTCCATCTTCTGTGTATTTTTTATTTTTATGTGGCTTTTTTATTACTTCAATTTTACTTTCTTTTGTTTCTTTTTTCCCCGAGACAGGGTTTCTCTGTGGAAATCTGCCTGCCTCTGCTTCCTTCTCTCACAAGCCTACATATATTTTTAAACGCAGTGTAAACCTTTAGAGGTTTTTCTTTATCTGGATCTGTCTTTATCATCTTGGTAGTGTCGAGTCCAACGCCCAAGAGCATTGAGACGGCGCAAGCATATGGAAGCTGTTCCGATGCCTCTCAGCGGCCCGACAGGGCAGGCTGTGGTGGCAGGTTTCCCTCTTTCTGTGGAAACCATGGGGCATGGGGTCATCCCGCTCACTGACACCATTTAGTGCAATTCTGTTTTAATTAAAATGTATTAAAATTAAATGATGAAAAGTTTTAAAAACAATAAAAGAATAAAGCTGTTGTTTAAGAAGTAAAAAAAAAAACCTACTTTGATTAATTTGAAGTTAGAAGGACTATGTAAAAATAAGGCAGCACAAGAACTCAATCTTTCCTTGTAGTGTAAGAGAAGCTGTTGGGCTCTAAGCATGGCATATGTGTTTTCTCTTTCTGACTCTTTCTCCAGGCCAGGGTGGTCTCTCCCTGCTTCATGTGGTCTCCTCACATCTTTTCAATACTCTTAGTTTCTGTTTTCTAAGCCCTGCATTACTAAAACTAGATTTTTTTACACAATAATATCCTAATTAAGGTTTCCCCCCCCCACTCCTCCCAGTTCCTCCCACTACCCCTTCCATCTAGATCCACCTTCTTTCTGTCTCTGTGAGTTCATATGCGTATCAGTCCTGTTGATTTAGAGGGCCTTATTGCCTTAGTGTCCTTCATCTACTCTGGTTCTCACACTCTTTCTGTCTCATCTTCTAAAATGAAGCCATAATATATATGCAAAGGACCTGGCATAGACCCATACAGGACCTGTGCTGCCTCAGTCTCTTTGAGTTCCTATGTGTTTTGATCATTAGAGGGATTTGTTTTCTTGATGTGCTCTATCTGCTCTGGCTCTTAAAGCTTCTGCAAGGATGGATGAGCAAGGCACTAATCTATGAGTATAGCAGAATGTCATTAGGAGTCATTTTATTGCTATGTTCTTTTAGTAGACAAGTAGTATTTGGTTTTGCCCTAGGTCCCTGGACTATTTAGTCTCAGGTTCTTGGTCATCCAAGCAATGTTGGTTATGGGTCCATCTCGTGGAGTGGGCTTTAAGTCAAATCAGATATTGGTTCATTGCTCCTGCAAGTTTATGCCACCATTGCCCTGGCATATCTTGAAGGCAGGACATCATTGTAGGTCAAAGGGTGAACAGAGTTTTCAAAACAAATAAAAATGGCTGGGAAGTATCTCAAAAATTGTTCATTCTTCCTATCAATCAGGGAAAGGCAAGTTAAAACAGCTTTGGTATTTCATCTTGCCCCATTCAGAATGACAAAGATCAAAACAATGAACAACAAATGCTGGTAAGGACATACGGAAAGAGAAACCTTCACTCACTGTTGGTAGAATTGCAAACTACTGCAGCTACTCT